GCGCAAGAAGCGTCTCGCCTGGGCCAAGGACAAAAAGGACTGGACTGATGCTGAGTGGTCCAAAGTTATGTTTTCTGATGAAAGCAAGTTCTGCATTTCCTTTGGAAATCAAGGACCCAGAGTCTGGAGGAAGAGCGGAGAAGCACAGAATCCACGTTGCATGAGGTCCAGTGTAAAGTTTCCACCGTCAGTGATGGTGTGGGGTGCCATGTCATCTGCCGGTGTTGGCTCACTCTGTTTCCTGAGGTCCAGGGTCAATGCAGCCGTCTACCAGGAAGTTTTAGAGCACTTCATGCTTCCTGCTGCTGACCAACTTTATGGGGATGCAGACTTCACCTTTCAACAGGACTTGGCACCTGCACACAGTGCCAAAACCACCAGCACCTGGTTCAAGGACCATGGTATCCCTGTCCTTGATTGGCCAGCAAACTCGCCTGACCTTAACCCCATAGAAAATCTATGGGGTATTGTGAAGCGGAGGATGCAATACGCTAGACCCAACAATGCAGAGGAGCTGAAGACGACTATCAGAGCAACCTGGGCTCTCATAACACCTGAGCAGTGCCACAGACTGATCGAGTCCATGCCACGCCGCATTACTGCAGTTATTGAGGCAAAAGGAGCCCCGACTAAGTATTGAGTGCTATACATGCACATTCTTTTCATGTTCATTCTTTTCAGTTGGCCAACATTAGAGAAACAAACATTTTTTCATTGGCCTTTAGAATATTCTAATTTTCTGAGATACCAGATTTGATGTTTTCATTGGTTGTCACCTATAAATATCAAAATTAAACGTAATAAACATCGGAAATACATTGGTCTGTGTGCATTGCATGAATATAATGTACAAGTTTCACGTTTTGAATGGAATTACTGAAATATTTTCAACCTTTTGATGATATTCTAATTTACTGGCCAGCACCTGTATGTCTGATCTCTGAATTGTGTGCACTGAAACTCAATTTCGTTTCTCTGTATGTCCTGCACATGTGGTAGAAATGACAATAAAATGACGTTGACTTTGACTTTGATATTTAGCTTTTAACAACAAACAAGTTAAAAAAATTAAATTTCTCTAATCAAGGGATTGTCAAATTATAGATGATTTTAAAAACTAAAACTTATCTTAAAAAAAGAAATAAAATCACCATTACAATTTCAATAACATATAACCATTGTGGAAATCAAGATAATAAAGGATCAAAGAAAACTGAAATCAAGTGAACGCAATCACTGATTGTTTAAATCATGACATGGGCTCTGAAACCCACTTAATACTAAATGATGTAAAGTATTTTAAACTTTATTTTAATAAATAGCAAAAGCAACAAAACAAACCCTATGAAAAGGTCATACACTTCCGCTTTTGCACACATTTAAACTTTGTAAACAGCATCAAACAACTATGAAAATATATAGTATTAACTGATCCCTGCAGTTCTTCTTTTTACTTTGCATTTACTATTCGTAAATATTGAGTTGTTATAGCATCCAGCATGTGTACAAACATAAATCTTTGTATATTTTGGTGCAAGGGAAGTTTCTGTTTGTCTACACTCAATCGTAAATCCTCTTTTCTAAGAGACAAAAAGATAAATCCAGTTTGAGTCATGCTTAGTCTGTTTTATAAAAACATATAAAATTCTGCTTTTGAAAAGCTTAGACCTTAGGTTTCACTTTTGGCTTTGTTTCCACAGAGCTGCTGTTTTATACATTTTAATTTAAAAGACAGTCATATGCCCATCACATAAAATGTTAAATTTTGACTTGAAAAGTTAGAAAGCCAAACTGTCCTACTAGCCAAACCTGTAATCCTATAAAATCAATACAATACAAACAGACAAAAAAGAACAGAAGGCCCTAAACTGCTAAGAACCTCAAATAATGCCAGTGAAGAACTGGAATTGGTTTTAAGATAACAGCAACTGATCTCAAACTTTCATGAACATTTATAAAATATTGTCTAAAAAATATTTTTTAATTAAATTATTTTAAAAAATGAGGCGATGGAGAAACATGCATTCTTTTGAGATTTTAAAAACAACACATAAAACTAGGGGTGCACATGAAGTGTACTAGTTAGTATTCCAGTGAGTACAAGGGTTTCATGTTTGGTGCTCACATCATGGGATTATGAGAGGGGCCTCCATTGAAACTAGGGATGGACAATATATCGGCATCAATATCGGTATCGGCCGATGTTAGTCATTTTTTAACATATCGGTATCGGTTCGATGAATAAAACCGGGCCGGTATTAACAACCGATATTTTTTCCATCTCGTCTCCATTTGTTTGCCAGTTTCAGAGGGTGAGGGGGGTGATGCGTAATTGTTTAGTCATGTGAACAGTGAATGAAATAATCTCAGAACCATACATGTGTGTGTTGTGTGTACATAATAATTTTCATTCTATACAAAATCTGCTGATTTTAGAAGAATTAATGTCAGTGTATCGGTATTGGCAAATATCGGTTATCGGCCGTAACAGTGATCTTAATATCAGATATCTGTATCGGCCCAAAATTTTCATATCGGTGCATCACTAATTGAAACTCAACCAAGGGGTTTGGCACGGTGACAACACCCAAACAGAACAATATGACCGAGCTTTTTCAGCTTACGCAGTTCCTTTGCAGTATAGAGATTGTGCTGAGCATAAAGTTCTTATGAGCAAGTGTGTTGCCACTTCGTTAGTGACAAGCAGTTAGGGAAACACAAAATTATGGTAGAGCTCATACTGGCATAACAACTGGTATGCAAAGGAGCATTGTGGCAAAGGAACTGGTACTCACTCGGATTGGACGATATGATATTCCAAGTAGGGTTCACGATACTAAAATTATAAACTTGATTCGATATTGGAAAAAAACTCGATACTCGATTTTGATACTATTTAAAAACACCAATTTATTGAACAGGTTTATTGAAAAAATAACATTCCTCAGTTATATTGCTTAATTAAGGTTAAGTGTATACAGTGCTTAAACCTTTCAAGTATCAGCATTTTTTAAAAAGTGCATACAAAAACTGGCGAAAGTTAACACTTTAAATCATGAATTATCTCACTATATATACACTATTTGCAGAGTGATGTTTTGCTGTAAAACTCTGTTTAAGTTGCATTTTTGTCATAAGCTGTAATGCCATATGTTTTGTTCTGTACTTTTGAACAACTCTGTTGGTCAATAAAGGGAGAAAACGAATTTCTCCACGGTAGGACAAAGGTATATCTAATCTTAATAAAAACAGATTGGCGCATGGCAGTGACGTCATTAAAAGCACCGGTTAGATTAGCCGCGGCTAGTCTATTTACGCCTAGAAATCCCAGACCCGCTCCAAACGAACAGGGGAATCATGTTAATGATTCCTAACAAAATCTTTCGACATGAAGATGTTTTGGTGCAGATAATGTCTTATTTCGAGGCTGCACCATCGGTGCCCGTCCACTCCCGTTATATGGATATACACTGATGGCGATTCGCCAATGGATCTAAATACCCCGGGGAATCCAAGTAGCACCAAAGTTGTCAGCGTGAATAAACAAACGTACTGCATGCTAAAAATTATGTCCGGGTTGCAATAAACAAGAGTTTTCCTTTGAGCATATAAGCGTGAATATACAACTACGTGTCGGACTTGGTTTGCTAGCTTAGCTAATACTAATACATGAGCTCAGATTTGTTGGTGCAATTAGACACATTCTTACTAGATTTAATAAATTTTAGACACCCCTTTCATTTCATCATGCAGTTTGGGGTGTCGGTCTCTCAGATGCTTGGCCAAATTTGTTGTGCTGCTTGACTTCGTAGCGATCTCTTTGTAGCACTCCTTGCAAACAGGTCTGTCATGGTCTGTTGCTTTCCCCGACTCATCAGCCTTGTATCCAAAGTGTTTCCACACTGCACTTTTGCTCTTTGTGTTGTTGATTAACTTGGACTGTGAAGCGCCTCCCGAATTCACTGTTGCCATTGATAGCAAAACTTGGATCAGAGACAACTCGCATGGGAAATAGCAATGTAGCCATGCAGCGTCTTCTTCTGTTTGTCCGGGAGGCAGAGGCTGCTTTACGGCATCTGGCTGTCGTGCGTGTCGTGTACTTGAAGAAGGCTGTGTATATGTGAGACTCCATAATATCTATACAACAGGGACGGAATATCTAATTTAGATACCATTTTTAGTATCGATTTATATCTAGGTACTGATTTTTTTTTGACAATAATTCCAAGCAGGAATCAGTGTTGTCCCTACATAGGCTCAGACGTGGCGCAGCACCATGGCTATGAAATCAACAACCCCCCGCACTCTCACAGCTGACGCACGGCACCGGAACGTTATCCCCTTCCCCGCTCTCATGGAAGCAATCGGTCTGCAAATGTAAACCCCACCCTCACAGACATAACGTGGCAGCAAGACGGTCCCTAGCGTGAATCCTCCCACTCTCACCCCCCACACACAAAGATGGCTCTAGTCTGTCAATGTAAGGCTTTGAACAGTGAGGCAGACGTTATTCTGAATTTCCGAGTGGTTTATTGTGTTAACAGTTATGGTTAAATCTTTGTTTGCAATAAATCATTGGAATCCCACGAATCTTAGCTGTCAAATGACGTGTAATACGTTAATGTAAATAGAACAAGTGTTGCAAAAATGATGGGGATTTGACGTGGAAATTTACAGTGTCCCATCCACGAGACTCATTCACAGGCATAAAATATATCGCCAATAAGATAAGGACCAATAAAGGGCCAATCACAGATGGTCCAATAATTTGTCCAATCCCTCAACCTTCGTACAGACGCATTTTTTGTAGTGCACTTGCATAATTCCATGCCAGTTATGTGCAGCCATGTGTCTAATACTTTGTTTAACCTTACATACAAGACCTAAAAGATCGTAATTTTTGTCTAGTTATCTTTATGTACACTTGGCCTTTGTAACAGTTTTGAAAAGTAGAAAATAAAGTTGTAAATAAAAATAAAAAGGAAACAGCTGTATCTTACCTCTGTGTGCCCTTACGTGTGTTTGAAAACAGTTGTAATACTTGTACTTCTTCCCACACACTGCACAAACATATGAGCCTGCAAGAGAAAATGGTATAAAACACAGGAATGATATCATTAGTATTGCATATGTTGTTATGAATATGGAGGTATTCTGTTACTGCACAGATCCTTGCAATGTTTTGTCATTATGACCGAGGAAGATAACATTCTACAAAACCCTGACGTTTTTGTGTTTTAAAATCTAAAAAGATCTGTATGAACATTTTCTTTACTAGACATGTTGAATTATAATTGCTATTTATAAGAGGCTCAAGCTAACCCCAGAAGAGAAATACAACGAAAACCTACAGGTCCTTCTCAAAAAATTAGCATATTGTGATAAAGTTCATTATTTTCTGTAATGTACTGATAAACATTAGACATTCATATATATATTAGATTCATTACACACAACTGAAGTAGTTCAAGCCTTTTATTGTTTTTAATATTGATGATTTTGGCATACAGCTCATGAAAACCCAAAATTCCTATCTAAAAAAATTAGCATATCATGAAAAGGTTCTCTAAATGAGCTATTAATCTAATCATCTGAATCAACTAATTAACTCTAAACACGTGCAAAAGATTCCTGAGGCTTTTAAAAACTCCCAGCCTGGTTCATTACTCAAAACCGCAATCATGGGTAAGACTGCTGACCTGAGTGCTGTTCAGAACGCCATCATTGACACCCTCAAGCAAGAGGGTAAGACACGGAAAGAAATTTCTGAACAAATAGGCTGTTCCCAGAGTGCTGTATCAAGGCACCTCAGTGGGAAGTCTGTGGGAAGGAAAAAGTGTGGCAGAAAACGCTGCACAACGAGAAGAGGTGACCGGACCCAGAGGAAGATTGTGGAGAAGAACCGATTCCAGACCCTGGGGGACCTGCGGAAGCAGTGGACTGAGTCTGGAATAGAAACATCCAGAGCCACCGTGTACAGGCGTGTGCAGGAAATGGGCTACAGGTGCCGCATTCCCCAGGTCAAGCCACTTTTGAACCAGAAACAGCAGCATTAGTGCCTGACCTGGGCTACAGAGAAGCAGCACTGGACTGTTGCTCAGTGATCCAAAGTACTTTTTTCGGATGAAAGCAAATTTTGCATGACATTCAGAAATCAAGGTGACAGAGTCTGGAGGAAGACTGGGCAGAGGGAAATGCCAAAATGCCTGAAGTCCAGTGTCAAGTACCCACAGTCAGTGATGGTCTGGGGTGCCATGTCAGCTGCTGGTGTTGGTCCACTGTGTTTTTTCAAGGGCAGGGTCAATGCAGCTAGCTATCAGGAGATTTTGGAGCACTTCATGCTTCCATCTGCTGAAAAGCTTTATGGAGATGAAGATTTCCTTTTCAGTACAACCTGGCACCTGCTCACAGTGCCAAAACCACTGGTAAATGGTTTACTGACCATGGTATTACTGTGCTCAATTGACCTGTCAACTCTCCTGACCTAAATCGACGAGACCTGACCTGACCTGACGAGATATGTCCCATAGAGAATCTGTGGGATATTGTGAAGAGAAAGTTGAGAGACGCAAGACCCAACACTCTGGATGACCTTAAGGCCGCTATTGAAGCACCCTGGGCCTCCATAACATCTCAGCAGAGCCACAGACTGGTTACAGGATGGGCACTTAACTTACAGCCACCCAACTCACCTGTATGTGAGTAGGTGTGTTGTAAAGTGCCTAGGGGATTATAAAACCATAGAAAGCTTCCCGACCAAGTATTGAGTGCATAACTGAACATAATTATTTGAAGGTTGACTTTTTTGTATTAAAAATACTTTTCTTTTATTGGTCAGATGAAATATGCTATTTTTTTCAGAAAGGAATTTTGGGTTTTCATGAGCTGTATGCCAAAAATCATCAATATTAGAAACAATAAAAGGCTTGAACTACTTCAGTTGTGTGTAATGAACCTAATATATATGAAAGTCTAATGTTTATCAGTGCATTACAGAAAATAATTAACTTTATCAGAATATGCAAATTTTTTTAGAAGAATCGTTTTCCAATAGTATTAACACATTCACACACTGAAGGTGATGAGCTACAATGTAGCCACAGCTGTCCTGGGGCTCAGTGAGATGCGCGGCAGCCGAGCACTGGCGCTACCAGTCCCCCTAACCACCATTAGTAGACTAGAAAAGTTAAATGTCTTGCCCAAGTACACAACGACTGCAACAGATGAGGCTCAAACTTACAACCCCCTGGTTACAGGATGGGCACTTAACTTACAGCCACCCAACTCACCTGTATGTGAGTAGGTGTGTTGTAAAGTGCCTAGGGGTTTATAAAACCATAGAAAGCGTTATATCAAATGTATCATTTTTAAAGGGAGACTAGGCAGTTTTGGCTTGTTTTGGCACCCCCTAGTGTCCGTTTGTAGAATCAAAAGCAAAACTTATTTCCTCGCTGTGTGTTCATCTTTTTAACACCTTAATCTGACAGCTGAAATGTCTCCCCAGCATTCCTTAAGTGTCTACAGGAGCAATTAATCAGTAAATCAAACAAATCAGCTGTGTCCATGATCTAAACATGCAGGAAATGTGCTGGAACCAGACTGGCAACTCTGAAATTGCATGTGGAATGTTTTGGCCACAGGGAGCGACAGGGGCTAGGTGGCCTTTCATTAACCCTGTAAAGCAGGGTTATTCAATTATGTGCCTCGGGGGCCGGTATCCAGCATGTTTTAGTTGTTTCTCTAGTCCAACACACTAGATTCAGTGTTTGAATCACCTGTGTAGCAGCTCATCAGGCTCTGCAGAAACCTGTTAATCACCTGATGAATTAAATCAGGTGTGTTGAAGCAGGGTTAAAATCAAAATGTGCTGGATACTGGCCCTCAAGGCCCTGAATTGAATAACTCGTAAACGGTCATTTTATCACATACTTGATCAATAAAATGATTAAAAAATATGGAAAAAGTTGCAAAGTATCCCGCACTGCATCCCAGCAGCAGACGCGCTTCGCGACTAGTAATCTCATCTGCATTTTTCAGCTGCCTTTTCAAAAATAAATTAGAAAAGTTGAAATAATGCATTTGTTCCACGAAAATGGAACATTTTTCAACAGAATTATAACTGCACAATGTTACACTGATAATAAATGTTTAAACAAAGCAATATCTGAGTTGTGGTGAGTGCTAGAGACTGTCGCCACACAGGTGTTTTTATGTGATTTTTAAAAATACTCGAGGCGAATGTAAGCATTTCAACATTCACACACCTATGCATGAATCTGTGCTCTTCGTTGGAGGTGGAGTACCAAGGGCGAACATACCCTCGGCCGGAGCTCTACGGGGTCCGCCTCCACTCGATTCTCCATCTTTCCCTCCAATGACAACACAAATCTCAGGTGGATTGACATTCCCAACTTTTCCGTTGCTTGTCTCTGAGGTCCCAGGCTCCTTCTTTACAGAAACTGGTGGTGGACTAGTTTTCTCGGTCGTTGAGGCTTCTGTGGTTGCATTCCCATTCCCACTGTCTGCCTGCTCCTTCACAGGTTTAGGTGCTTCTGATGCGCTCATGACCCCACCTCCTCTGAGCCTGTGCTTCTGTTGGTGGCACAAAAAAAAAAAGTTGAAACTTTAACAACCTTGCTTAAATACACAGTATTACCTAAACATAAATCTTCTGCTTAAAAAGGATACCTGTGGGGCGCTGTTGAGCTCATAACGGATTAAAGCCTAATTTATACTTCTCTGTCTGCGTCGGAATGGATGCATGCAATGCATGATGCAATGCCATTATCTGTCTTTTACAGGGCTCTCCAGTAGGCTCGCAAGGACGGACGGAGTCAAGCTCTCTTTTCTAAACATCTGTCCAACGAGACGGAAAACTCAAGCTCGTGATTGGTCAGGATGCCGCTATCATCATCAGTGCTATAATTGCGCCCTCAAAAACATAAAGAGAGCCAAAGATATCTAGGGGCAGATAATGCACATTTAAAATACAGCATGAGAGCTGAACAAAGCACCTTCCAGAAGGTTGGATGCAAGCAGAACAAAACATTTCAATAAAATAAGATAAAATGAAGCAATATAATTCAGGAATGCACCATTTAAAAACAATTCAATAAGTTAACAGCATTTTGCACAGTCTGCAGGTTCAAGGCCAAAACAGGAGTACCAATGAGTAGTGAGTTTGCATAATCCAGGGAAGAATTTATAAAAGCATGTATCACAGACTCCAAATGGGGGCATTTCAGTACTGGTTTGAGGCGTATGAGGTGGCGCAGTTGGAAGAAACGTGATTTACCCGACACACAATGAACCTGACCCCTTTGGCCCCTCCCACAAGTGGTGAGCTCATGAAAAGGGGGACCCATGTCTCCTTTTTAGGCTGTGCCCAGCTGGGCTCCATGGGTCAAAGCCCAGCCATCAGGTGCTCGCCAACGTGCCCCAACTCCAGGCCTGACTCCAGAGGGGGGCCCCAGTGAGCCACGTCCAGGCAAGGGAACGCTATTTCCATTTGTATTGTTCATCATTTACTTTGCCTGATCCTTCAACTAGGACCTGTTTGCCAAGAGGCATTTAGCCTCAGACAACTTAGCTCCTAGGATCATTGGAACACTCAAATCCCTCCACAAGGTAAAGTGGCAGCCCAGGAAGGGACTTTTAGTATCCCAATATATTGTATCGTCTCCCCTAGTGCTGGACGATATGGCAACTAATCAATATCACAATATATTGAGCAGTTCGTCTTGATGATGATAAATTTGATGATAACTACACGTACAGAGGCAGTTAGATGAAGCAGAGGTGGTGGTAGATTTGGTCGAGGGGATGCCTGTCCCCACAAAAATCCTTCAACAATAGTTTTGACACATTTTGGATTCGTTCGCTGCCACCAGTTTCTGCCAGCAGCTACCTGCTGCCCCACCAATAATTTCAACATTTGAATCATCCTCCATTTCCTCACCATCTTTCCCTTCTTGTTACAGGCTGGATGAGGTAGAGTCATGTGAATACCCCATCCAGTTAACTAATTAACTGCCAACTGTTTCCTGGTAATAAAAGCCTCTCGCTGCCAGTGTTTTTACAGTTTTTTGAAAGGTCACAAAACGTGCTCCATGATAATGTCAACGACAAAACTACCAAAACAAAAAGTAGACTCACTTTTTACATCAGAAAGAATCCAGGTGTTTCTAGCATCATCTGTTCTTTCATAATTCGTTGTCAAGTTGTGAGTGGCAGAAGCTTTTCCGGTATGCGCACTGCGGCCCAAAACGATCTCCTAATACATGGATTTTCTGTTTCCTCATCACGTCACGTGTGACATACGCAGATGCAGATCAGCTTTAAAGCTGTGATGTTTGTTCTTGTGGTGCGGGGGCTCGTTCCGATGCCCACCCAGTAAAAGATTGCAAATGACGACTTTAATCAATCAAATTAATCAAATCAAAGATACTTTATTAATCCCAGCAGGAAATTAGAGTTTCAGTACACACAATTCAGAGATCAGACATACATGGGCAAGACAGATGACAAGAATTGGTGACTGTGGTCATTCGCAACCCTGAGTCGCGCTACCTTAATAGAGATAAGAGGGTAACATGAGGAATTGATTCAGGAGGAGGGGAAAAAAGGCACTACCAGAAGGGCAGCTTTGCTCTGCAAAAAAACACCTCACAGATATGCAACAGACTTCAGACATCACAACATAACATGAGACTCCAATAGGAAGGCGGGGGGGGAGGGGGGGGTGCTGGGATCCTGTTTCCCCCCAGCGAGAGCAGCCATTTACAGCGCTCAGCCACTGTAACCACAGGTGGGAGGGAGATCTTGGGAGAAGCGCAGAGCACGTTGACTCCTGCAGGTTGATGACCTCGCCAGGCTGAAGTCCACCAATCCGGGGGGGGGGGGGGGGGGTGTTCAGGTTTTCACAGCATCTGTCTGCATTCCTTCGTGGGGGTTTGTTGGTAGCCTCTCAAGGCTGCAAGGGTGTCAGATTTGGATAACAAGACTTTGTTTGGGTCAGGCTGAGATCAAACTTGTCCATACCGTCTGGTGACCCTCTCCGAGATGGCATCCATTTTGCGCACTAATACCGGTATCGCAGCTAGAACATTGTCCAGCTTACGATTCACCTCGAGTAACGTCCCAGTCTGTGAAGTCTCCACACGGACGGTGCTTTCCGTGGGTGCGGGTCGCCCTCCAATCGCTCCCGTCTTCCCAAATTTCCAGAAAACCAGATATCCTCCCACTCCAATCAGGAGAAATCCAGTGATCATCAGGCCGAATATCCACACGTCTCTGACATCCTCAATGGACAGCTGGGAGAGGCATATGATCTTCCATTCCCTCCAGGAATCCAGCATATACCCCGCCGGGTGTGTCCCCTGTGGGCATGTGGGAGCCCCCTGCTCTGTTCTCATTGTTGAAAAAATCTTATCAATCGCGTTGAATGACCAATTTATCAAATCTATGGTTAAAAATAGGGTTTTTCAGAAGAAATGCAGAGAAGCGCTCTGTGGGCAGACAGGACAAAGAGCCTTGGGAAAAAAAGATAAAGGAGCAAAAAGAGAAGTGTCTGTACTCTGCGAGTGCCAGTCGCCAATGGCAGTAAATGAGTCAATAGGGAGCCTAAGCCACGCCCATCCCATCTACTTCTGGACCATGGGTCCCTGGAAGAATAGAAAATGAATGCAAGTCAATGGGGCTAAAACCACTATTTTCTATTTCTGCTCGTTATGTGCCAATAAAGTGCTTATTTTTGAACGGAGGTTTTGTGTGAAAATAAGTCCAGGACTACAAATGCCAACAAACCAAAGTGACATTATTGAACCAGACACAAATAAAAACAGAGAAGTGTGTGGTCCAGGGCGTAAGACGAAGCAGATTAGAAAATAGCTCTTTTAGCTTCATTGACTTGCATTCCTTTTTTCGCTTTTCCGGAAACCCATGAGCCGACAGGAAAGGGAGGAGACTTAGGCTCCCTATGGCACAGCATCTTTAAAGAATGTGAACATCAGCAACCTATACACACGCTTTTTCATTTTTTTTCCAAATGTCTCATATATTACAGTTTTTCTCAATTGTTTAAACACATTTTCTTGCATGCCTCATATTCTCAGAACTCTACACACAAATCCAAAAATTCACACACAATAGGCAACACCCCTCAATTAACCTGCAAAATGAAACTTCACATTCAAAACAATGTTATTTCTCCTCACAATGTGATTTTGTTGTCAAATGACACACACAAACCATCATATGAATAGACATTTATAAGAACCAGCCGAACACTTATGTGCTCAATGTAAAACACTACGATGAATGGAAAACCCTTCTTCTCCACTTATCATAATGACTTATGTCTTTCTGGTTCAGTGTTACACTTACTACAGACAGTATATACATACATGTGTCGTAAAATATTTCAGAATATTGTTTTTACACTCTGAACACACAAATACATGGAGTGGTCTCTATTGTGAAGCACAATCATTATGATTACAATATTGAAATATGTATAATTTACTGTACACAGTGTTGAGTCTATGCATCAATTGTGGGACTCACTTGCACATAGTTATATCGCAATTCTTTGACTCTTTCTGAATTGTGTTCAAATGGCACCCTGTAGACCTGCTTCATCCTGAGATGATATCTGCGCAAGACATGGTCCAGTGTTGATAAGCTTACCCTATCAATATTTTTAAACATGTCATTGTTTTCTAATATTTTTCTTTGTATTTGCCATAATGTTATGGCATTGTTTTCTAGGATCATGTTCATGATTTCAGTTTCCTGTTTCCACCTCGTTTTGGTAATCTTTCAGTTCTGCCAAACAAATAGGAAAATACTGTGAATACAAAGTAGGTATACATTTCCTAAATACTGGAAACATACTTTACAGTATTTTTACTGTCCAACAGTCCACAGGCAATACTACTACTATACTCATTGAATACTGATTGTATTGATATGCAGTACTGCCATTTTCTAGTGAGAGAAGATTTGTTACCTATTCTCATTTCGGAAGGTCCGTATGATGGATGCTACAGTGTGCCTGCTCAAATTTGGCTGTACTCTTTGCCCAGCCTTCCTCATTATAAGACCATGGTTGACCACATGATCAACCAAATTGGCCTGGCTCTCATCAGAGATTACAGTCCATAGTCTTCCTCGTCTTCGTCCTCTTCCTCATCCCCCCCATCCTCCTCCTCTTACTCTCACTCCTCTGATTCTCCCTCTGTTTCCAATGTTGGCATCCATTGCTCCAAAACAGAAGAGCTCACCTGTTGCCCTTTTATGCTAAAGCTCTGATTGCTGATTGTGAAACTGTGTGACGGGTGTTTGCCCTTGTGATGAGTCAGTGTGCATATTTGAAAAGCAGTGTGTTCCTTGTGAAAACAAGATATTTTCTATATGAAAATGGAGCCAACAGCAGAGAATTGTGTGTAGTGTTTTGAAAAAAGTGTGTTTTAGATTTGCAATTTGAGTGCAAAGCAGGAATTGTGCTTGTAGTTTAGCAAAATGTGTTAAGCGGGTTGGTTAATTGGTTACATGTTGTGGTCATTTTGTCTCAAGTACCAGAAAATGTGTGT